TGCAGGGTGTCCAGTCCTGGTCCTGGAGGGGTCAGTGTGTCTGCAGGGTGTTCGGTCCTGGTCCTGGAGGGGTCAGTGTGTCCAGTCCTGGTCCTGGAGGGGTCAGTGTGTCCACAGGGTGTCAATAACGAGCTGTTAAGATAAATGAGAGCCCAGCTGGACTGCAGACACATTGACCTCTATAACCAGGATCCACTCATAAATCAATCAGGACAAAGCTATAGACTTGAAGTAAGAATAGTTAAGAAACACTAGAAATTGAAACACAATTTAGTTTTTTTTCCCTAGGCGAAGCGGTTGCAGATCAGTTAAGGCCTCTCCGACCGCCATTCCTTCTGCAAGACGTTAAGAAGCCAGAAACTTTATAACAGCTTTTCATGATCATCATGTGTCGACAGATCGTACCAGAGAATCACCAGATAACAGGGCCTCCTGACGAACTTGTACACCTCTTGCAATGCAGGGGGGACAGTTTTTACCCGGTGAGATCACGAATGCCACACCACTGCCGCTAAATCACGTATAGTTTGCAACAGAAACAGCAACACATCTCTGACTTACGCAAAAGGTTGGCGCTTTTAAATCAAGAAACGTTTTTACGTGAACTATTCCCACGGCTGTTTTGTAAAGGCTGCAATAAAACACCATTGTACTGGTTAAGGGGGAAAGTGTCGTTTAATCGTTAAGAGGCAGTACTGAATTCCCCGTTCAACTTTTAACTGAATGGGCTACTCCGTTACACGCGAGCTGAATCAGCTACGTTCAGATTCAGTGTGCGCTGTGTCTGGCGTGTGCAATTAAACCCCGTGAATGTAATAAACGCAGAAATTCTCTGCAACCTTCTTTTCAAATAGTAAATAAGGAACAGGACACTCACGCTGGACCGCTCCGATTCTTGCTCATCTCTGGAGAGGCGAGACACGACGTTTGCGTCATAGTGCGAGTGGTCCAATCATGAACGAGTGGCCTCCTAAAACATCGTTGAGCAGCCAACCACTGATGACTACGTCACAGACCACACCCCCAGCGAAACACAGTGAAGTAACCAATCACATGTCCGGATGGCCTGTGAGGTTTATCCAGCAGCACAGCCAGCCACTCGGTGATTGATGGACCTTTCAGCCAATAGGTTCCGCAGGATCATTAGCTACTACCCGTAGGCGGCCTTACTTTTAAAATTGAAACTGGAGTGTGTTGTTAAGAATGCGGTCTTTCCATGACTTATTCCCAACGCTTCTAATTTCATACTTTATTGTCACACTTAAGATAGCTGTCCCAGTCGAATTCAAAGTTCTCAAACAAACGCAGAACCACATTAAAATAAACTTTTGGTGGCGTTAGAAAAGTTTTATTTAATTGCAACATTTTTCCTCCTGGAAGCCTGACATATTTAAGTGCAGTTTAGAAAAAAAAAAGGTTTCTTATAGCATACATGCTATGACAGGGAAGACTATTTTACATTATTTACAAAAGGTACAATTTAAAAGGGCCAACAGTGAAAATACAAAAAAGTTTTCTTGAATCATAAATAGCAATAAGTTACTATTACATCCTTGTACACTTGACACATTGCAGAAAAGTAGATATAGATTGTGTTTGATTTCTGTAAGGCTACAAAAACTGCAAGTCCCTAGATATGATGTTGACCCACACACAGAGTTTAAGAGAAGGTTACTGCAGAAACGAGGGTCCCCGTATTTGAGAGAAGGTGGTGAATGGGCTGTAACAAAGCCTGGCGCACGTGATAAGATCTGTCAAAACCGCATTTACTGTCTCGACTTTTCTTGCCCCTCCAGTCCCTCTGCAGCCCAGGAGGAACAGAGGCCCGTGTGGAACTCCTCCCAGGGGACTCCCAGTCCGTGGATCTGGGACAGCGGGGTGAACCGAGGGACACAACGAACTGCTGTCCCAGCGGGAGCGTTAATACAGACTAGACGACAGGTGCGTCTCTCTCTTTGTGGGGATGCTGGGTCACACACCCACTCCTGCCACTGGCAGGCATGGAAGCCCATCGCCCGCCTTGCCCATCTCGCACTGCGAAAGAGGAGTTCCTGCTCAATCGGATGATCGAACACTGGGGCCCCGTTTCTTTGAGAGACAGCAGGCACTGAGTGCAGGGGGCGTGTCTCCTAGATCCCTCACACCTGTATGGTTAGGTGCCATGACCAATAGAAGCAAGGGATGTCATGACTGACTGCGTTTTCAGTCAATCAAATCCATGAGGCCTTTGACCTCCGTGTTGAAGCAGCCAGACATTCCATATAAACACTGAAATCGGCACAGCCTCTCGCCTGCAGTCTGCAGATCGTGACTGTAGGAGCACTGGGAAAGACACGCTGCCAAGGCATTCCCAGATCCTTCCCAATAATATTGATAATAGTTCCCAATAAGAACTGAACTGTTTCCCATTAAGCAAATATGCAGTTAAATCTTTTAAGGCAGTTTGTAGGATGTCTGGGTTGTCAATTAGAAAGGGATTCCGTGGGGGAAAAAAACAGCCCCAGTCAGGCCTCACTTCTTGAGAAAATATAGTTCCTCTGCCCCGGCCAGGCCAACCTCTTCCTCTTCCTGGCGATGCTGCGTCTGGACGGTCAGCCGGCTGACGGTGGAGGACAGCTCCAGCACCTCCCCAAAACCCCTTGAAGAGAGCAAGCAGCAGGCATGTTAAAGAGGGCGTCCCAGTTCCGCATCTGCACACCGAAAGAGCAATCGGCAAGTCGAACCACACCGGCCTACCCACCAGCTGGCGTTTCGCCGCCTTCAAACGTCACCTTAAAAAAAAGATCAATCGCACAGGAGAGGAGCTGAGGCTGCCAACGAGTTTGAGGCACGAACCCCGAGGGCGCCGACGGGCACTGCTCCTGCTGGGCGCTCTACAACTCAAGCACTCACCTCGCCAGCTCCTTGTCCACCTCCTGGACAGTCGTCTTCACCTCGGACAGCAGCTCAGCAGCTCGGCCATCGGCTCCCAGGGCGTCCTGCGTGCAACAGACCTGCAGCAGGGACTGCGATTCCCTCAGGCACGCCTCCACTTTACCTGCAGGGCCGAAGGAGAAACACCCCCAGAGTTAAGCTAGGGCTTACACACTGAAAAGTGACAACAGGAGGGACTGTACCCAAAGGCTGGTGGGAGTGTGGAACAAGCTACCCAGCCAAGTGGTTGAAGCTATTACGTTGGCTTCCTTCCCAGGGAGCTGGTTTCTAAAATCCTTGGAACAACTATTAACTACCTGCAGGAGAGAAGCCTCCCTCTCGTGTTAACCAAAATACGACAGTGGGGCACCTATTGATATGCAGTCCCCAGGCAAACATGGCTGAAAAAGAGTGTAGCACCAGGAGCAGAAGAGGGGTTTTCAAAAGTTGGTTACTTTCCACTGGGATAAGTCAAATTTGTATCTTTCCTACACAACAACATCACTTTATTAACCCTTTACAATTTCTTGCATTAGGAACTGCCTTTTCACATACCCTTAGCTTCCTCCATGAGACAGACAGGGAGAGAAGCTGGGGGTCAGAGCGCAGGGTCTGCCATTGTACGGCACCCCTGGAGCAGTTGGGGTTAAGGGCCTTGCTCAGGAGCCCAACGGAGTAGGATTCCTCTGCCGGCTGCGGGATTTGAACCGGCAACCTTCCAGCCACAGGCGCAGATCCTGAACCACAGAGCCACCGCTCCGCCCCAACACCAGCCCAACACCAGACATGATGCAGCACAGACGACGCCACGGGCCTTAGCCACGCCTCCGTGTAATCTCTGCGGAACTAGAGGCGTCCAAGAACCAAAGAAACCGAAAAAAAAACATCTTACCCGCAGGGTTAAAAATTTTTAGAACACAGTAAACTGATCCCAAGCCGACCAACAGAGCACAGCGGAAACCTACCCAGAAACTCCCTCCTGTCCCCCTCGATGTGCACGTTCTTGACAGGCAGCTCGTGGCGCGTCGTGTCCAGGGCCGTGGCAAACGTCGCGTAGTCCTGTTGAAATCCCTGCGCCGCTGCGACCGCGGGCATCAGGGCCGCCACCTGCAACAGGGGAGGCCCGTGGGGAGAGAGGTGTCTTTCCACTGCTGGTCATTTCTGTCGATCATTTCCAACAGCTGCCACATTCACACACGCAGCTTTGTCACAGAGAAAACACCCTGCACACAATGGAGCAGGCACAAACACTGTGGTCCCGCGGGCCAAATAATTCTTATATCCCAACAGTGTTGTGTATTTGTTTGTACCAGCGCTGTTGCAATACCGTAACGGTGTCAGGACAAAGAGCAGTTTTTACACTAGGAGGCCTGAGGACTTTGCCCGCGTTCCGATATTGGGTTTTCAAAATGTAATTCTAAGGAGCAGAGGGTGTCGGGGCACAAGATGAGCGAGGGAACATGGAGAGGTTGCGCGTGACCGGGTGAAGGTCCGAGAAGATGAAACGTCGAGTCTACCTGCAGGTCCAACAAGGCGCCAAGCTGCTGCTCCTTCTCCTGCAGGAGGTGGTGCCGCTTCTTGCTGCCCACCGCCTCCTGCAGCCTGTCCTTCTCCTCCATCGCCCCCAGCAGGCACTGCTCCGCCTCCTCCCTCAGCCGCCGCGTGCTGCTCTCGATCTAAAATCGCGGCCAAGAAGAGGAGGTCAGGATCTCCCCCAGAGCCCCACTAACGCAGTATGACCTGCCAGACCTGCCTGCGCTTGTTCCAATGACCATACACAGCTGAATGGCCCCGAGAGAAAAAACATCACCTGCTTCAGTGGTCTAAACGAAACTGTTCCACGTTTTTACCAGTTGATGATGCGAGGGTGACCTACAAGACCTGCAGGATGGTGGCTCTCCAGGACCTGGGGAGACCACCCCTGACCTAGAGGGCTGTAGCAGACATGCCGCAGAACCTTGGAAAACCACACATGAACAACAAACCGAAGTCCCCCCCCCATCCTGTTGCTCTGCTTACCTTTGCAGTGAGGTAGGCCAGCAAGAAAGTGTTATTTTCCAAAATTTCCTTTTCTTCCTCTGGATCAGACGGGTTGTGCTGCATGGTCTTTTCTGCGGCACAAAAAGAGACCCAAGATGGGTTGCTGCCAATTAGAAAGCTCTTAATCAAGCTCAGGTAATGAAGACTCAATTAATTAAGAATGAAGGCATTAAACTACAATGACTTTTAAGGAATCATATTTAAGGATGTTAATTTTAATTAACATCAAGGCCATCCTGCAGACTGGAGGTTTGGAATTCTGGGGCAGGACCCGATACGCATCGCACCCTTGGGGAGCTGAAGGACCTCTCTGAACTTTGACCCTCCAGTAGTAACTGTCGTTCCCACAACACCCCGCAGCCTGTTTAGAAGTCTTACAAACACAAGCACTGGATTACAGTAAATAGACTACGTAACACATTTCTGGTGGAGCAAATCCAGTGATGCAAGACGCTCCAGAGCTGAATCTGACAGCTCTGCTGTCTCCTCTGATCAGTTTATTGGCACAAACCAATGACGAACCCCAGATCACTCAGTCGGGGGTGTCCCACTCACCTGTAATGCAGGAGACATCAAACTGTGGCCGCAGGCAGTGCCCGTCAAGCAGAGTGGACTGCAGGTTACTTATTCCAGCATGCGAAGGCTCCAGTATGCTGGACATCATAGCTGGACAAGATAAAGAAAAATACACAGACATATTCTCAAGCCTTTATTCTACACAGGCCATACCAATTTAAAGACAGGTGGTGTTTGACTTGGGATTAAGCGCAAGGTGCTGCAACGCCCTCAGCGCTTCGAGAAGAAAGGTGTATCACGAAAGCCGAGCTTGAGAAATGTCTGACCATTTCATTGAGGTTGGTTCTCAAGATCACAACTGATTCCACTAGAAGCAAAGCAAAAAAGGACCATGTCTGTAAAACAAATGTTTCTAAGCAACGCTAGTGGGGGCTCCTTTCATACATTAACATGACTTTTGTCTCAAACCCAGTTGACCAGGTTTGGGGAAGGTGGGTCACAACTACAAAGAGACAGGGGGACTGAAAGAAACTCCCATCTTTAAGCCCTTCATTCTCCTTGATGCCCTGAGGTCTCAGGGAGAATCCTGTTGAGCTCAGCGACTTGCCATGTGTCACATCATGTCATGTCATGTCATTTGCCAGACCGCTTTATACCATATGGTGTCGCGGGAAGCTGGAGCCTACCAGGCTAGCAACGAGCGCAAGGCAGGGTACACCCTGGACAGGACGCCAGTCAGTCACAGGACAAGTACAAGCCAGTCATACATGGGGACAGTTTGGAGGCAACAGTAAAGGCCAAGGGGGGAAATTTGGCCCGGACACCGGGATAACTCCCTACTCTTATCGGGAAATGCAAGGGGATCTTTAATCACCATTGAGAGTCCCCACCACTATACCGGGCATAGGCATTAGGACCCATGCAGTCCGCAAGGTGGGCAACCCCTACTGGCCCCCCAACACCTCTTCCAGCAGCAACCTTAGCTTTCAAGGAGGTCTCCCATCCAGGTACTGACCAGGCTCAACCCTGCTGGGCTCCAGTGGGTAACCAGTTGAGAGCTGCAGGACGATATGGCTCTCACCAACTTGTGAGCTGAACAATTAGGACCAGAAACTAAGAGGCATCCCCCCCCTTGGAACAACCCGAGCTCGGCCACGCGTGGCGCTCGACGGGAGTGCGGGACACCCGTCCGCGTCGGGCTCTTACAGGAAGGGGTGACAAGCGGCTGGGGGGCCAGGGACCGTCGGGGGGCGGAGCTGGGGCTGGACCTGCAGGGGTTCCCGGGCTTGGTGGGCGTTGCTGGTCTCTGAGCCGCGCATCCGGGCTGCTCCGGCCCCGAGGTCTGTGAAGGAAGCAAGACCAACAGGCTGGAGGCAGAGGTGCCATCACTCGCACGCGCGGCGTACTCACACTCCAGAGTTCAGGCAGAGGGGCATTTCAAGCACTACTCTTCATCGGTCACCATAACCTCCACGGGCTCTCCTGGCCTAGAAGCTGCCAACACCACAAGGAATAACAGCCGAGTCCAGGGACGGGCAACAACAGGGGCCTGGGTGTCCTCTGCTTTCCAATCCATTATATTTCTTAAAGGGGAACCGAGTCGCCATTTTCACAAGAATCAGCACTGATGAGGGCGTTTCAAACCACAATGAAAGTAAACCGTACACAGCAACTTGTAAAATTGCTCCAATTTGCATCACAAAATAGACTGAATTTCCAGGTATGAGCAGCGCTACATCCTGCGATTCACAACGAGGCAACGATTCTTGCGAACTCGTGCTCTCGCCCGTGGCCAGACCAGGGCTTTGCAACAACATGGCGACTAACAGTACTTTCACCAAGTTCACGACTTGGTGCTTCATTTGAAATTGGTCAAATCGCCCTCTCAAGTCAATGAATTTATTTTGTTACCAAGATTTAATAACCGGCCTGAGAAACTGGGACTGCAGTTCCCCTTGAATTACTTAATTAAACTATTTAAATGATCAAGATGTAAAATCCCCAGGTACTTAAATTCTTAATCGCCTGCTCATTGACATACTGTACCTACAAAACCTGCAGGACTCTGAATCTCAACTGCAGGGGTCTAGTCAGGACCAGTAGGCACTGACTGCACAAGGCACAGGTGGGAACTGCACTGAAGTGAACTTGTAACAGAGAACAGGAGGCGCTTCTTTATACAAAGGGTTGTGGGAGTGTGGAACAAGCTGCTCAGAAATACTGTTGAAGCCCAGATCCTGGTTTCTTTCAACACACAGCTGGGTGAGACCCTCAGAACAATTAACTACTACCGGCAAGTGGCCTCCCCTTGTTTCTAACCATTCACACGCAGCCAGGAAACGTGGGCGAGTCGGGTCAAAGTAAATTTCCCCCTACCTTCGCCAGCGGTTTCTTCTCAACAGCCTGCATGTACCGAGACTTGACGACTTTACCAGCTGCTGCGCAGGGAGAAATGCATGTCAGAAAAGAAAAAAAAAAGATAGAGGCACAACATTCCACTTCACATAATGTCATAAGCCTGCGTTTTTCAGTCACCAGTCCCCGCCATAACCTGCAGTAATTTGAATGACTGAGCTGGATTTTTGCTATTCAGAGGTCGTTGAAAATGAACATGCCAACACACCGTAGCTCTCAAGGACCACAGTGAGCATCTCCAACGATACTGACCCAGTTAACTTAACACACTGAACAAAACTCACGTTACAAGTCTTTACAACGTGCTGATTGAAGAGTGACCTATAGCGTCAGCTTCCCCTTGGGGAAAAAACTCCCCAGGCCTTGGCCAGATCTATGGAGAAGATCTGGGGACCATTTAACAGTCCTTGGTAAGATACAACCAGGACTAACTAACACACCAACGTGGTCCAGACCTGAAGCACTAAGTCTGCTGCTTGTTTGTCTGCTGCAGTCGACCCAACCCTTGGGAATGATTCAGGTTATTAGACTTGAAAATAAGACGGCATTGCGCGCATTTTTCATTCCTTCTCCTGCTTGTCCCACAAAACAAACCGAGCTGGAGCAAACCCCGAGATGACTCGTCTCCTGCCACACACATCCATACAGCAGCGAATTGTATTAAACACTCCAGCGCTCCGCGAATGGGCACCCGGCTGTGCAGGACTCCCGAACCACGGCGGCAGTTTGAATTGGGAAGAACTGGGCATTCTGCTCCGTGTTCCACTTCTTACGTTTAGCTTTCTTCGGGACTGTGCCGCTGTTGTTCCCGCTACTGTTGTAACTTCCATCCCTAGAAATGATAAAACATAACCCAATTACCAGACGACTTGACACGTGACACGATCCGACCTCCCACATAGGAGGCTGAGGAATTCTCTGTCGTTTATCACAATGAGGAAAAACGGCTTGCGTTTTTATTTGTCGCGCAGAAGGTTTTATCAACACTCTGATTTTGTCACTTTTAGCAGGGCTGGCAGATTTTGTTTCATGAAGGAACAGCTCATCTAACTAAACAACAATAATTACAAGGGGGTTTTGCCTATTAAACTTTTAAACACGCAACGTGTAAAAGCTTAACTAAACCTATTAAAGTGTTACATTTGTACTGCATTTATAAACAAAAAGTATTATCGTTTTTCATTTTGACATGTTATTGATCCTGACCGCCCTGGTGATTCGAGATCTACTTTGAGAATAAAGATAGAGGGTCCGTTACATCCTGTAAAATTGCACAACATTGCTAGGTTGTCATAACGGGAAAACTTTGCTGCTAGAATTAGCAAACAGAAACTTATTCGTTCGAAATCTCCTGAACAACGTAAGTTACACAACAAACTCACTTAGTGGAGTCTCCAGCCGCAGATTTCTGCTTGTTGTTGAAACTAGAGACTCTTCTGGTCGCCATTGCTTTCTAAATAAACCGCCAGTCCGTCACCCTAAACTGTCCGATAGGAAACTCTAACTCCGAGGACAATAGAGCCCGAATCCAGTGTTCATGGTCATCCTTCGCCAAACCCTGCAAATCACATAATCCTCTTCCATAGGTTTGGAACAACTGCGAGTTATTGGTCAGTTTAACACTGTGGGCATTTAAGGGCTAGCCATTTCCATGACTTAAGAGTGGCGGCGAATTTCACAACTCATCTTCACAAGCTATGTCACTGAGCACAACAATTATTTTTCAGGAACTGCGAAAATGATTATTTAACGGTTAAATAACGTAATTTAACCCACTGAATTGAGGGCTCTTCGGGATCAGGGTTGGAGATACAGTACGAAAAGCATCACTCCCCACTCCTTAATAAATATTTTGTTCTTTTTAGAAGTCAATTTACAAACGATTAAATACATTTAACTTAATTTGCGTGGCGGCAAACTACATGAAATAATCAAATGGTTTTGTCGATTTTTATAATCTGAAAAACAGGACATATACAATACCTTTGGGATGATCAGTACCTTGGCTCTCCATTCCGTTTCACTGAACTCCACTCCGAGTCTTTGCTCCAGCTAAACCTGAGTCAAGCCAGTTTCAGCATCTGGATACAAGTGGGAAATGTACTTTTCCGAAATGAAAAAAATACAGTACGGTGTTTTCGTCTATGCCAATAGAGAGTACGTTATATAAATTCGACTACTGAAAAATATCTACAAAAAATAAACTTTCAAGAGCGGATTGGGGAGAGCATCGGATACCATTTTATGGCGGACACTAACCGGAAGTTTTTTACCTCGGATTTTTCATGTCGTCTCGCCATGAAAGTGTTTCCCGTGTGAGGTCTGGTTTCGGTTTCGGAACGAATGGGTCGATAGACTGTTCTGAAATTCTGTTACGTTGCTCTGTCATGTGTTTTGTAGTTCACTTGTTTAATAATTCGATGATATTAAAAAGTGCGTAATAGACACCAGGCTGCACTCGGCTAAATTGCTATGGTGAGTTTACAATAATATCCTTCTTAACGGAAACATGGTGTAATATAGTTCTCTGCATGTATTGACGTAGTAATCCATTTTTCTTTCTTTATCCTATACGTTAAGGAGACAGCGTTTTAACAGATGCTTTCCAACATGAACTTTTCCAGTACAACAGGAAAGGGCGACGCCACTAGTTAGTACGATATCAAACCTCCTTCCTCTTGTTGTAAGACAGAAACCAGATTCTGCTCCTTGCTTGTGATTTGTTGACCGTAGAGGAGGTACTATCCGTTGCGGCTCATATATAAGTGAACTGGGTTCCTGTCCAATGTCATGCTGATGGGTTAACTGCTGTCCCTAAGTTAGCTGTTTGTGCTTGTGTGTTTTCTGCACTGCACTGCCATCCCATTATCGGTCTGTTTCCAGTTTGTACTCTATATTCCTAGGATAGAATCTTAGTGCAGTTCAGTTTAATTGTCATATGGACAAGTGCAATTAAATGCTTATTGGTGTGTATGCTCCCATACACAGACATTGAAGGGATCGCCAAAAACATAAACACAGAACAGCAGCAGCAACAACAAGGTAGATAACATACATCTTTAGGACATGCTTGTAGAAATGAAGAGCACGTTCAGCAATAGACTGATTCATCCACGGTGCGACAGGGAGCGCTACAGAAGGTCATTCTTGCCTTCTGCCATCAGACTGTACAGCGCATCCACCTTGCGTCTGGGCAGAGGCAACATTGACAGTGATCTGTTCCTGGACTGAACAGTAAACTGATACATCTGTTCTTTTTCTTTTCCCGTTTAAAACCGTTTTTGTACAATATACGCCAGGGACCTGTGCAATACATTTATATTTATAGTCATATTGTGCAATACGACTTTTTTGTGTGCTGTTCTGTTCTAGTTTGTTCTGTTCTTTGTGTGTTCCGGACTGTGAGTAACTCTTCTTAGTGTACTTCTCACTGTACTGATTGTATTGTACGTATTGTATTATTATTATTGTATCATTCATTACTGTTGCTGTGTTGTCTGTGTTAAGCTGCCGTTGCACTGCAGTTTCCCCCACGGGATCAATAAAGTATCTATCTTTAAAAAAGTCAGACAAGCAGTGTGGGGGGGACACATCGGTGTGAGTCAGTGGTAGGGGCAGGTTAGTAATCTGCCAGCTTGTGGGAAGAAAGTTGCCTCGATGCCTATGAGGCTGTCTGATAATGAAAGGCCGTACGTAAGCAAAAGTAGACCTGTGCTTTGCGGAGGCCAGTGGGAGTGGTTAGAAAGTTTAACTTCGACACGTATGCTCAGGAGGACGGATCCAGTACTTTTTCTTTTTGTGTTCGAACGACATGTCCCTTTTCCTTTAGCCCGGCGCGAGCCCTCCGAACCGGCGTTTCAGGACTGTTTCCTGTGCCTCTGCTCTGATTGCAGGCTCCCCCGGACTGTCGAGCCCTTCTGCAGCGGTTTCACGGCCTGCAGGCCGAGCGCGTGGAAGCCTACAGGCTCTTCGAGGAGTGAGTTGATTTAAGTGATGGTTTTGCAGTTTTTTTTTGGGGGGGTGGGTGGGGGTTCTCTTGATTATACAGGTCCTTCTGTCACTTCCCAGCATGGCGTCTGTTTTAGACAGCCGGCTGCGTGTGATGTCGGCTCTCTCGTCATGCTTCTCCGGCTTTCGCCTCAGTGCTTTGTTTCCCCTCTGTGCCAGGGGCCACGAGGCGTACCTGAGGACGGGGCCACACTATGACTTCCAGCACTACAAGCAGCTGGTGCACGAGATCACCCAGGCCTTCCGCGGGATTTCCCAGGAGATCCTGGGGATCAAGGAGCGGCTGCACCAGGAATTCGACCGGCCGGACCTGTCGGAGCACATCGAAAAGCTGCAGGCCAAGGAGAAGCAGAAGCTGGAGCTGGTGGGTTTGAGGTGTTCATTTTTGGGGGTGCTCATGACCAGCTTCCCAGCATCCCTCTCATTTTGTTTCCTTGATCACATCTACGTTGTGTGTTGGGGCTCAGTGGTTTCCCCCCCAAAAAAGGTTGAATCTCATAAAGTGAAAGGCTAGGAAAGGGGAGCGAGACAGAGGTTTTGGTGGTAAACCAGGCCAGACCAGCTCCTGTGTTTGTTTTTTATTTTTATTTTGTCGCGCCGTTTCACAGCCCTACCGCTTGGAAACGAGTGGCCCAGGTACACACACGGGCACGTACTGTAACAGAACACAAAGCACATATCGGAGCAGACACAAACACCTGAGCATGGTCACGTGCTCTAGTGGGGCCATGCACTTGCGTCTGATGTGTATACCACACATGTGCAGGTATGGTGGGAAAAATGGGGAGTGATGTTTTTGATCAGGGCTGGTTTCTGTATGTATCCATCACCTGTGATGCCCAGTCCAGGTTTGTAACCCACATGGGTGAAAGCATGACAGAAGGAGACAAACTTAGGGTTGATCTGAGTCTTATTTTTTTTTACTTCCAGTACCAAATTGGCAGTTCCCCTGGTTTCTTTTAAACCTCACCTACAGTCGATTGTTTTTTTTTGTGTTGTTGCTGTGTCATCTTTCGGCCACAAGGGGGCAGGTGTTTACTACAGAACAGCACTGGAAGTAAATTCCGTAGAGCATTTTTGCACAATGAAAACCAGACAGTGGGTTGTACACACAAAGCAAAGAAAAACAAAGGTGGGTAGCAGAAACATTCACAAAGGCCACCTAAGTTTATTTTTTTGTTGTCTGTTATGTTTTGTTTTGTTTTTCCTTGATTACACTAGTTTGTTTGATCTGAACCTAGTAACTTCATATGCCTGTTAGGGAAAATGAATAATTTATCAGTGAGCTTGTAAACTCTAGATTTTCAGAATGAAAGAGATGCCCTCGAGATACATGAAAATGTATTGGTTTACTGATTGTTTAGAATCACACTGAGGGGGAGCTGAGCTGAATTTAAAATGGCAAAGAAAAGCTAAATTTAGAAGGGGGTTGCACGTAGTGAATATTTCTGTCTGTGGTTAATCAGCACAAAGTATCTAGTTCTGGGAGGCTGAAGTTCTTAAATAAACTTGGAAGAGCTGTAAAGCAACAGCTGCACTGCAGACAGACAGTCGTGAGTGCCACACAAGCACACTGTTCACGTTTTGAGATTCCACGTGTTTGCTGATGCATTTGGCTTTATTGAATTTTTTGGGGGGATTGGGGGGGGGATATCTCTTTTGCAGACTGCTAAGCTTCAACTGGCGAAACAAAATGCCCAAGACCACCCTGAGGACGAAAACTGCCAGGAGACAGTACAGGAGCTCAGGCATAAGTATGGACTCTGTGGTGACCCCTGTTCAGCGCCATGTGATGTGCCCCTACACAGTAATGAACCCAGGGTCTGCGCACAGTACAACCGCAGCGAAAAGCTATGATTGGAAAAGCAGGCTCCTGGGAGGCACCTTTTACTGGAAATCTTGGGTCCTGGGTCGCTTCAGACTTGGAAAACTTTGGACCAATTCGGACCAATAATAAGGCTCAAGTCCAATCTTGGTCCTCAAGAGCTGTGATCCAGTGGGATTATTAAAGTGCAGACGTCTCCAGAGATGGGCCAGGCAAGCCCAGCCAGGCCACAGCTGGACTTGGAGACCTGGGAAGCCTGCACTGCTGTGAGCACTAGCGGAGGCGCCGGGGACCCCCGTCCCGAGATATTGAGCGCGCATGAGCAATTCAGGCCCTTGGGACCCCGAGATTTTCTGGGCCCAGGGGTGAGGAGCATCTGGGGTGGGGTGCAGAGGATCACCAGTTTGGGGGTGTCCTGGGACATCTCAGCCCCGGCACATTTCCAGCACTTCTTCCTGGTGCCGGGTTGGATCAGTGTGCGTCAGGGTTAGTGGTCCCCGTTGACTGATGAGAGCCAGCAGCTGGCTTGCTGGAGTGTCAGTCACGCCAAGCAGCACGGCCTTTAGAAAGTGCCACACGTCGCAAAAGATCCAGATTCAACACGTATCATGTACAGGAAGTTAAAAAAAAAAACCTTTGTTGGATGTGTGCAGATAAATTGCACAACCCCGTTGTGTTAAAAGTGATAAGAGTAAACAGAACACATCAGTTATTGAGGGTTAGCCGGCCCCGGGCTTTTGTACAGGGCCTGATGCAGACGCTTGCAGATGCAGTGCAGCGTGGACATGTGCAGTCGGGGGGGGGGCTGACCGCACTGACGCTCTGTCGTTCTCTCCCTGACCAGGCTGATCAAGAACAAAGAGGCACTGAGTGAGATCCTGCAGGATTTTAAATACGACTCGGAAGAGGCGGAATGAGGAGGACACGGACAGCCCGGAGTTGGGAGTCGTCTGGTTTTGTTCTCTTTCTTTCCTTCTGTTGCTTTCGGAGTGTCGGGACATTTCCCGTGTGACTTCCAGCAGTTCAACAGTAACTCTTCTTCTTGATAAGAAGTGGAAACTTCCCCTGAGTTGTAAATATAATTATTAATCTACGTTAATAGTTAAAAGGCGATATTTTCATGTCTTTGTTTGATCCTGATCAGCGGTGAACCTCTTAGAAATGACTCTTGGCGTACTAATTATTATTTCTTACTTTATTATTACAATTAGAATAATTATTATGGCTACTGACGCATAACTTACAAAAAAACATTACCTTAAGTTTTTTAAATATGCTGATACAATTCAGTAAAAAAATAAAGGCAATAAAAATGTCTTCATACATACACACGTTCATACACACACAGTACATGAGAAAATGGGTTTAGTATTGCAGAGTGGATCCCTATTGCTGATTTTGAGGAGCTATGCAGGGTGTCGGCGCTGAGAGAGAGCCAGCGCTCCACTGTCTTCATGGTAGCCAGTGACATTAGCAAAGCGTGGAGGGAGAGACAGCACGTGAACCTCAGTTTCAGTTCAGCCCTTTGCCACAAGCGGAGGTATCTGCTTATTGTGTCTGGCACTGTTTGAGCCCAGGCCTTCAGGAACCTGTGATCATTAAGGCTCATGATTAACGAAGATAATAGGTGCAACTTCTGCACCTGAAGAATAGGAGGTCATTTGTAATGGAGCTGAGAACAGTGAGATCAAAGTGACCTAAATCTGTATTCCAGCCTAGTTTCTAGCAGTGAAATGAATGTGTGGCTGCTAGCTTGTACAGTAACTGCAATGCTACATTATTACAGGAATGTCTTGCACAGACGGGATGATAAGGCACTGAATCTCTGCAGTCGAGAACAGCAGACTACAAGTGACTTGTTACAAGTAATTCAGACCGGAAAAGGTCATTGACAAAGTCAACCCAGAGGAGTGCTTCCCGTTCAGCACCAGTGGTGACTCATAAGATAAGGCACAGGCTGTGTTTAAGGGACTTTCAGATATTCCCTCCTTTAAAGTCACTTTAGCCTGTAAGATCTCGGAGACAGGATCGTGTCTCCTGACAATCAGGAAACAGGCTCATAGAGTGTTCCAGTCAAGGAGGTTGAAGCTTGCTCTCGTGTGTGCAGTTAGGCCGGGACTGTAGGACCCAACTCTTTGTAGTTAAATATAGAGATAGGTGAATCATTTACTCCACAATAGTGTTATACTGAATAAACTCCCAAATGTAAACAATGAACAAAGAAATTGCTGTATTAGTTTTCTGAGTCAGACTGTTCAAAGTCTCTTTTTCCATCACTGGTACTGAAATAAGGTATAGATGGAGGATTGACAGAACAGATTCTAGGAGTTCCTATGTGGTTGTATCCACTGTGTTTAAATGTGTAGACAAGGAGTAATGATGGGTAATCCCTTAAATTAGAGAGCACCCCACCTTACGATCCATCACTGAACACTAGTGGAACAGGGACCAGAGGACACAGGTGGAAACAGAGGTCCGCCTTTACACAAAGAGTGGTGGCTGACTGGCACACGCTGCACAGCTGAGTTCTTGAAGCTGATTCCCAGGGATCTTTCAGGAAACAGCCTGGCAAGATCCTCGTTCCATTAGTTACTTGCATCCCAAAAATCTAGATGGACAAATAGCCCCCTCTCATTTACCACCTCTCTTATTCCCTTCTACCCATGTGGTCACTGAAGCATCCCCATCATGCACTGCTGTGGTCTTCAAGAGCTGTAGTAAGTGCAGCTGAGGGGAGAGCTATATCAGAAACTCGTTCCTGCACAGCCACTGAATTTCATGCCTTGGAACTTGAAATGAGAAGCAACACTTTGCTAATGCTAGATTTAACACTTAGCTTTCGAGCCCTGCTATATTCAATCTGTCGTACGGGCTACTGAGAGATTGGCTAACCAAAACCGAAAACAGGAAAACAATCGTATCGACTCAGCTGAAGTCAGACTGTCCTCGGGGGGGGAGGGGTTGGGCAGAGTGGAAATGAGACCTGTGTTTATGTGGAAAGCAATTCCAGTGTGCTTCAGGAATCCTGAGCTGGGGACAATGCAGTTTTTTCTTCCTGTTTTGAAACACAGTTTTCATAAAATACCACATGGATCTCAGCAGAAGCTCAGTGTAACAAAACAGCAGAGTCCAGGACACGGGGGAGTTTTCAAAGCGCTCAGTTTCAGTTTCTTTCAGATATTTTGTTCCCCCCCCCCCGGGGTGCGCTATGATTTATCGCCTTGTAGAATCTGAAAGAACAAGGAGACGAGAATGTCACTGGTTTTTAAAACTTTCCCAGCTGCCACACGCACCCGTACAAAATAGCACGAACTCATTCAGAGTCAGAATTTGATCACGTTTGGCGTGCATGGTCCTGAAAATATGTTCTTTGTGTCGCTCGTCAGGGTAACATTTCTAACTTTGAAATGCATTCAACACATTCCTTCATTTCATAAGGGCTGTTGGGATAAAACTGCCACTAAAGGTTATTCCATTATACATGATCTCCAAACGGTCTGGGAGGAATTTTTCCTCCAGCTACTCATGTGGCATCCAATTTTATTCATTGGAGCAAAGCCTTATTTACTTGTAAATTTACACCAGCAGCCTGATCGCCCGCGGATGGCTCGCACTGTAGGCCAGCGTGCGTCTGCAGGCATCTCTGGCAGATGCCCGATTCTTCCAGGAGCCATGCGGCCGCAGATTACGATCGGGGGGTGAGTGGAGGATGTGGGTTAGCGGCCACGTTCTGAGCACAGTTCCCAAAATCCTGCTGGGTCCCATGTGTGCTGGGAGGAAGGTGTAATTCGAAACGGGAA